AATACTATATATATAAATTATTGATAATTAAAATATTGATATATATTTAAAAATATTTCACAAAACTCCCTGAAATTGGATATAATTGACGTATCATTGATTATATATTAATATATATCGAGATATCAAGTTTTTTTAATTCTATGAATAACGAAGACTTTGAATATGGTAAATTTAGTTATCCACATTTTTCTATGCTGGTTACTGTAACGTTATAAGGACAGACGAGAATTGCCTCAGCTATGCAAGCCTGCTTAAGTAAAAATGCAATTTTTATTTTATTGGACGTCATATTTAGCCAACCATAAATCCAATAAACTTGGAATTCTCACGTTTCGTAAACGTTGCTCTTAAGCTTACATGTTTTATTAATTTGAAAATCATTCCACTTATTAGGTCAATAATCGATGTTATATGTTTCCTCATAGTTATTTATATGAAAAATCTTTGCCTTGATGTAGTGTGAAGACCTCTCTTACGCCCTGGTAGAGGAATGCCGCAGAAGAGGAGAAGCAGGAGCGGAGGAGGCAGAGGGAGCATGATATACGCACGCCGATTCGTCTCGGGTGACATCAAAGACAAACCATCGTAACCGACGGTTACAGTAATTTATACTGATATTCCACGTGTTTTTTTTAGAAAGAATTGGTTGTATTTTATGCTAATCCTTTATTGTAAGTTCAGTCCCATATGTATGAGCATGTGGTCTCGCGTTTTATGTGTACGACTGCGGCCCGTTGTCAGAACAACTAGCACTAGAACTAGAACAACTAGCTATAAAACTAGAACAAGTAGCACTAGACCTTGTAGAACTAGAGCAACTAGCTCTAGAACTAGAGCAACTAGCTTTAAAACTATAACAAATAGCCCTAGAACTAGAACAACTAGCTCTAAAACTAGAACAAATAGCCCTAGAACTAGAACAAGTAGCTCTGGAACTAGAACAACTAGCTCTATAACTAGAGCAAGTAGCACCCTGATTGTAATCCCATGCATGTGTGTTCACGATTGAAATGCTTTCAAATAAATATACTCCAAATAAAACGCCCGAGATTTCTATTTATATATGGTGTTAATTATTCAAAGACTATCAACAATACTTTTCTGAAAAATCATCAAAGAAATTGTAACATACATTGCTCTAGTTAAGAAGTTTGCGGCGCGGTGGTTAATGTACTTCGCGCGTGTTGATGACTCGTTGTTGTTGTCTGGCGGTGTTGACATTAACACTAACCTTGACCAAGACCTCGTCCAATGCCATGGCCTTGAGCTCAAGGTAATGGCCTTGACCTACTTATGTAAAACTTTTAAAACTTAAATAAGTGGGTCAAGGCCATGGCCTTGAACTCAAGGCCATGACCTACTTTTACATTTTAACGTTTTTCATAAGTAGGTCATGGCCTTGGGCTCAAGGCCTTGACCCACTTTTTTGAGTTTTAAAAGTTTTACATAAGTAGGCCAAGGCCACAGCCTTGAGCTCAAGGCCATGGCCTTCACCACGTTCAAAATATTTACATTATCAGGTGAGGATCCTTGCCAAGGGCAAGGTCAAAGTATGTTTACATTTCTTCCAGCGGCAGTCTGAAAATATTTGACTTTGGTAATTAACCCAGGATTATTGAATACAAGCCCGTTAGGCTACGGACGGACCCAACCTTCCCATTCCTTATATGTTAAGCTCGGATGTGTGTGTTATATTTAGCTTTACAGCAGTTAGAAAATATTTTACTATTGTAACTGACAAGATTTGAACCCCGGACTACTGAGTAGCAGTCCAACACGCTACGCACACACCCAAACTTCCATTTCATGTTTTGTTTAGATCGTATGTGTGTGTTATATTTTCGTTTTATAAAAAGAAGAAAAACTAAACAAGGAGTCTTGCCGTACACCTTTAAAGGCAAAGTTTTGTATTTATAAACGAAATAGAAATTCCCCTATTGTTGGTTATTCATATTCGTGGTTTATGAACCGCGAAGGGAGATTCCGAGTACACTCTTCTCAGATATAGCATGTAAATATCGAATGCACCAGGTAACAACGGACTGACATCTGCGTACATTTAAAGCCCTGATCTCTGATCACAGCATTTTTTTCCGAGAGAATGCTTCTTTACTCCAGGTGTTGGACGGGTGCCGGTCAGTGTTATTAGTTGCATTCCTTTGCAGAACCAGAAAATGCGTTTTTAAACGAAACGTTCATAACAATAAATCACTTCATATATGATATAGAATAAACGGATAATTTTGCGCCATTATTTTTCACATTTAGTTTAGGATTTTCACTGTAGATTTATTAGGTCAACTTATTATTTTACTATGCTCTAACTCTATCTCGCCCTCTTATATCTATATTCTTTACATCTCTCTATATATTCCTCTTATATATCTCTCTCTATCTCTACATCTACAATTCTTGTACATCTCTATATCTCTATATCTGTCTATATATACGCCTCATTTGTATCTCTCTATCTACCATTCTTATATATCTCTATAACTACATCTCTTATATATATATATACCCATATCTCTCTATCTATCATTCTTATAATCTCTATATCTCTCTATCTACCATTCTTATACATCTCTATCTCTCTATCTACTTCTCTTATATATATCTCTATGATCGCTAAGGTAGGATCTTTGAGGTAAGATCTCTAAGATAGGATGTGTGTCACGAACCTATATAGCACGACTCGTGACGATCGGAAGCCACAACGCTCATATATAGACGGCAACGACGTTCACGTATCAGACAAGCTCCTAGGTATGTAGGCGTACATTGTCTACGCAAGCGCGAGTCCACGAGGCGGCATCTTGTCTATATTGTAAATTTGATGGATTTTATTATACAACGTATTATATATCGCTTAAAAGATATACAGCGAGAGAATTCGTCTTTGAATTGTATTATTACTGCCACGTAAGCCTTAAAGTTTGTTAGTTTCGTACATCTTGTGGGTGCGCACCGTCCAGAGATAACACGTGTTGCTGTTTTTGTCACTGTCGTGGTTGGTCATAGCGGAACGTACCTGGCAGTCGAGATACAAGACCCGACGTGTCACCCCTGTGGGGCCCGATCACGGCCCCTGATCATCCACCCACAAAGGAAAAACAAATACAATACTATACTTCATATGATCATATCTATCATTACACGTACTCATGCTTTGTTAAGTTTGATCAATTTGTTGATAAAGAATCGTGAAGCTCCGATAGTGCGTTACCTACCACAATTTCGCGTACAAATAAATATTCTTACGAATACAAACCCCGCCTGTGTGAACAACACTGAGACGAACACAAATCGGATTAAACGAGAAAAGCATTTTATTTGACAAAGCCAAATACCTCTTACATCGGGCAAGGGGCGTTCAACATTTCTCTCCGGTAAATCCTAACAGTTAATAGCTAACGATTTTTTTTGGATGCAATAGCCGTTTCAAACAAAACGTAGGAAGCATTTACCATCCATACGGATGGGTGGGTGAGTGGTGGGGTACGTGCCTGGGGGAGGCCACGTATAATCACCACGTCAGAAGAAACTTGAAAGACCTCATGAGTCATACATATCTCTCGTTCGTTCCAACCCCCAGAACAAACACATGTAATGGCGGGCTGTCGACTGAAGGCACTTTCTCAACAAACACTCTCTATCTGTCTCTTGCTATGTATACCATCTCTCTACAGCTCGCTACATGCCTACCGATTCTACAAACGACCTCGTCACAACGGGTTGCAACGCGGAAGTAATGCTGTGATAACGACTGTCTAGACTCTAGAGCATTGAGGTTGTCTTGCTAGTGATGGTAACCACAACAACCCACAGTACGCAGTAAATCATCACAGGTGATTGCAAAACAAGAGAGCCCTTCCGATGTGAGTTTCTATTCCGCTTTCGGACGATCTACGGGGCTACCCCGCGCAAGAACAAACGGTAGAGCATAGGTGGACAATCTTCTATGTTCAGACAGAGAAGCGTCGATGCAACTCAGCTGTGGAACACGGCAAAGCGAACCCCAGCCGGCGGCACATCAGTGAGCGGGGTTTCTCAGTCGGAAACCCTTGCATACGAGCTCCGAATAATTTTACGTGCGGGAAGAATTGAGTAAGTGAGAAGTGCCGGCGTGCCTCGGCCGCGGCACGTTGCTGTTCCGCGTAACATAGTGTGCGGTGAGAAGAAACACAACAGCTCTATAATATAATACACATACGCACAGATTCACTGACATCGATACGTTTCGAGCAATACCTGTTTCGTATAGATAAATGCGCTTAGAGTTCCTCGTTATATAATGCGACTCTCCTAACGCCGCGTCTTTCCCACCGGAAACGAACCGCAACCGACGCGCCACCAAGCGTTGAAGACAACGCATATCAGATTAGACCACCAGGGCGCGCCACGTTACAGCTACAGCGCCCGCCTTCGCTCGGCACACCTCGGCCGATTCCGTGGCATCGCCCGGAGAGACGAAGAAGAACGAGAGTGACGGAAACGGCCGATGTTTGCCGAATGCATCCGTCGTGATTCGTTCCCATGGGAGACGTCTAGTGAACGTGTTAGCGCCTAGGTTAGTTCGTTCGCGAAACACTGTGCGTGTTTTACCCCTAGCATCGTCAGTAATTGGCGAAGTGAAAATACAAATTGCACACGAATTATGCATTAGGATGGGATATTATCCGCTCGTCTGGCATCTCTCAATCCTGTTTGTTTCAGTTGCTCTCCTGTGTTTACAGAGTGCAACTACAGAGCAAGATAGACATGTTAGAACAATGCGTATATTCCCGAGTGACTGACTCCCCCCCCCGTCTTCTCTCTAACTCAATTTCGAATACGACGAAATCTAATAGTGCTTCAGATCGAACCTAATCGATCTAAATGTAATCGATTTTAGTCGATTTTCAGAGCTCCCTTGCTGGAGGCCAGGTTGTGTGGAGAGAAGCGAAAACAGTGCCGACACCAGCTGTGTACATATAGTTAGTAATAAGAGTGTGTACGTGTGTGTGTGTGTGTGCGCTCCTTTTGAAAACTCTATATACAGCAAGAGCAAAAATATACAGTTGTGGATGGGAGGATACATTTCCCGCTTCTCAGGTGACGAGCTTGTCAAAACGTACAATCTGCAAACACAAACAACCTCTACGCAGTACCCACGCAGACGTCACTGTGACGTCATCGCCGCAAACAGCAACAACGTCACATGCAGTACCCACGCAGACGTCACTGTGACGTCACACGCAGTACCCACGCAGACAATCGCTGTGACGTCATCACCGCAAACAGCAACAACGTCACATGCAGTACCCACGCAGACGTCACTGTGACGTCACACGCAGTACCCACGCAGACAATCGCTGTGACGTCATCACCGCAAACAGCAACAA